TTTTTCATAATCAAAACAAACAATTACATAAGTTATACGAAAATAACTAATAAGATTTGAATGATTTCGAAATTAATCTGATTTTCAATAATAAACACACCAATGTGGAACTCCATCAATCAACGATAACAGTTGAACTTTTATTATGTAAGCATTAAGGAAACTCACCAAAGTCTTTCCTTGTCCATGAATTTTTTCTATAATTATAAACACAGAAGCTTATAGATTCTTAATTATCATTAGATATGTGTGGAAATGATAATCCACTTACATAATGAGAAACTATAATTGCTTTGTAGTTTCTAGAGGTAAACTCATAACCAAGTCCTGAAATAAAGTTAGCCTCTTCCGAAACAATAGCAGGAGGAATCCTCTTGTACTTACCGGTTGATGGGTTCCATAAAAAGTAGTCTTCATAATCAACTGCTACAAACAACAAACCATTACAAGAACCCAAGATTTGAGCGTGATAATGGCCGAAGTCATAGTCAAGCGTTACAACATCACCATTTGATCCATCATAGTCAAGCGTTACAACATCACGATTGGATCCATCGGAATCCATTGAATAGAAAGAGACATATGGATGAGACCCCATCGTGAGGTCCAGCTGCCCAACCCGCAACAAGTTTTTGCCGTGGGATGTGTTTGCTCGATGGAGATGAGATTCAGCAAAGTTTGGATCAGATATCAGAGAAACCCATGGCTTGCATACAAGCTTGAATCGCTGAAGAGACTTAGCAGGTAGGCGTGAAAGTATGTCATAAACAATCTCATCAGGTAAAAGAAGTAGCGAGGTGCTTGTCTTTTCCATGCTTCCGGTGCTAGGGCTACGTTTTTTTTTTCTTGGATTATCTAAGGTTGGAAAAAGGAGACCAGGGTTTGGTAATACATATTGTGTTCCTTAAATATGAGAGAAGGTTATTTGCTTTTAAAAAACAAATAATAAAAACTCGTGAAAAAAAATATAATTAAATTTTAATCGAATTATATTTTTTTTGATAATAAAAGTGGAAAAGGTAAAAAGTAAGAAAAGCAAATCAAAAGAGAATATCATAATATCTAAATAGATTTTTAAATTATTCATAAAAATTCAAATAAATCATTATTTATTTATTATGTTTAATCAAGTTTTAATATTGTATTATTTATTTATTATGTTTAATCAAATTTTAATTTTTTTATTTTAAATCAAATAAAGTATTTTAGTTTTATTTTGAATTAAATAAACTCTTAGTTTAAGAGTTGATTTAATCAAAATATTAAATATCATTCTATACAACATGTTGACGTATTATAATAATAATAAAATATAATAACATGATCATACTATATTTTAATTTTTTAAAATTTTTTTTATAAATATAAAATATTAAAAAGTGAAAAAATTTATATTAACGAGGGTAAAGTATATTCATTCATTTTTTTTTACGTATATATATAAAAATTTGTATTGACTAAGGCTACCGCAATTCAATAGCAGTGGTCATGATTCCCACCGAAGCCATTAGCTCAGCACCATCATGAATACAACCATAAATAAACGATCCTAGAGAACAAGCCATACCAAGGATCTTCCACCACACCAAAGAGAGTAGAAATGAAGAAACAGAAGAGATACCTTCAGATGCTGTCCACCACCACACCTCATGCACAAACCAATAACAAATCCTCATCTCTCCCAATTCCAGCCTTACCACGGCTGCCCGCAACTCAATCTCCAACATCTCTCCCACTTGGAAAATATTATTTTGATCTCACAATGCAATAAAATAATAAAGTATTGTTTCTATCTTTTTATTTATTATTCTTTTTCCAACAAAGCATTAAATTAACTTTATTAAGATATTATAATTTTTAATATAATACAAAAAAATTATATAGAGTAAGAAATAAGTTTTCACACACATGAATATTGATGGAATGTGTTAATATTTTTATGGTGTTTCGATTGAAAATTATTGGAGGTAGGTTATGATGCAAAATATTTTTTTACAAGATATAAAATTCAAACAATTGAAAATATTTTCGACAGTTTATATAAATAAAATATCTTATACTGAAAAGCATAACTTAAATCTAATACATTGCGATCTATAGTAGTCAAGAGGAAAATAGCATAAACTTTGAAACTAAGGAAAGTCTTAATGAGCAAAACAGAAATTATCAATCAAATCCATAGTACTCAAAGATAGGTTACATAGTAATCAAGTGAGGGTCTATAGTAGTCTGGCGTTTCAACAGCACGATTGAATGAGGATCCAGCTTGGTGATCATATCCGTAATAGTCAAGATAGGATACATAGTAATGAAGTGAGGACCCATAGCGGTCAAGCGTTACGACATTACGATTAGATCCATATTGATCACGCAGATCGAATCCATAATAGAATGAGAAATACGGATGAGACCTTGAATAGAAAGAGAAACACGGATGAGACCCCATCGTGATGTTTTGTTGCCCAAACTGCAACGGATTTTCGTCCTGGGATGTGTTTGCTCGTTGGAGATGAAGTTCAGCAAAGTTAGGGTCAGATATCAGAGAACCCCATGGCTTGGATACAAGCTTGAATCGCTGTAGAGACTTAGCAGGTAGGAATGAGAGTATATCATAAACAATCTCATCGGGTATATGAAGCAGCGAGCCGCTTGTGTTTTCCATGCCTCCGGTGCTTGGGCTAATTTTTTTGCTCTTGAATTGTCAAAGCTTGGAAAGAGGAGTCTGGGGTTTGGTAATACCTATTGTGTTCCTTAAATAGGAGAATTAAGAAGGTTATTTGCTTTTAAAAACCGAATAAAAAAAGAACTCTTTAGAAAATAACAATATACAATTAAATTTAAAATAAAATCGGAAAGGTCAAAAGTGAGTAAAAACAAATAAAAAGAAAATATATCAAATAAAGCCGGCAAAAGCCTTCTTCTCCTTGCATGACTAGGCTCTCTGGCTTTTTGCCATGCAGTTGGAGATTTCAAGCTGTTTTCAACTAATCCAAGAATAGGTTTCCAGCATAACACACTAAACTCTTTAAGCTCAATGCAGTGCAACATGTCCATAAAGGTTTGACAAAGTCGTAAGTTGGCTGGTAAACTCTTTCATGTTGGTTTGATCAGGATGAAAGAATCCACCTTAAGTTAGACTCTTATTGCAGTCAACAAAAGATGGAATATATAGAAATCCAGAAAATGCACGCCAGGAAATTTGAATAACATAGCAAAGACATGGAGCTCTATCATTCCAAGACAAACAGAATTCTGTTGACAACTATTTAATCATGTCTCATATATATAGTCATGATTATTAGAATTTACAATCAACTTAGCAGAAAAAGAAAGAAAGATGAGGCATACATATCAATACACCAAATGATTCCCACTCTTCCCACTTTAACCCATTCAAGAACCTAAAATGTTAAGTTATTCTTGTTGCTGAGTATTCCACATGGTCCAATTATAAACCAGGTGCATGCCGTAATCTCCACGATGAAAACCTAGGCACATAATTCATGTCAAACCACATAACAGAAATTTCAATTCATTGGCTAAAAGGCACGATATAGACAACAATGCATATATTGTTGTAGGTTTTCTAGGTGCTACAATGTTGTCTCATCCGTGCAATAAGGCACAATGCATTAGAATTCACTCTCTTATTCTTTGGGAACACTAGCATAGTTTAAAGCCAAGGTACATTCTCAGCCATTTAACACTAACAGCAACAGAGTTCTCGGTAAATACACATTAATTCCATCTTCTGATAAGTTGCTCACTTAACATACTTGGTGAACCAATTCAGCATATCTTGATGAGCTTCATCAGCGCACGACACAGCTGTTGCGTCATTAACATTGTATCTCACCGTCCATCCATGAGCACATTTAGGAAATATCTTCACAAAGCTGCCAACCTGTAAAATTAAAGATGTTAGTTTCTAACTGAGATAATGAGAGCTCATGTAGTGATAACAATGGTCATAAAGAACATGATTCAAGACATTCAGGAAACAATAGTTTAGCTGGGGATCTATCAAGTAAATAACAAAAGTCCAAGGTGAAGGAAACAGGTAGCCACAGACCTATGGTGACATTCATCCGTGGGTTGAAGAAGCAGATATTCAAACTCCCAAACTCGAGCAGGCCATAGATAACCATACCTATGGGCCAAAGTAAAAAGTGACCCGGGAAAAAGCCATAACCAACCCCAAGTAATTGGAGAAGTATTTAGTCTAGTTGATCTTATTTGCAGAAAAAGCTTACCCCACAACAAGGTGTGGTGGGTGTTGTGGGGTGGTGCTTTGTCATATACAGTAGCCAACTACCTATTAGTCCCACTATCTTAAAATAATTGTCATTTTTATTGAGGATGTACTGAAACTTATCCACAACCACTAATCAAAGACTAACATTATCAGATTCCAAATAAAACCCTTTAAACTAGTTATTTACTGTGGACAACATCAATAACAACTACACCTTTTTTCAATACATGGGTTCAGCGACTAAGGGCAAAGAGAACAAAAAACGAAAAACATCAAGTTTTCTTTGCTGTCGCCAATACATGTTATAAGTAAACAGCATTTATAATATGGAAAACATAAAACCTATACATTAACTTGAATATGTGTTTTATAAATGTCTGAATGAGTGAAATATAACTCACTGCTTATCACAGGTAAATTTCTAACTAAGAATAAGAAAAACCCAGGGTGATGCAAGGCAAGTGAGAGAATAACATCTAATTATAATCTATAAGCTTGCAGCAGTTAAAAAAAGATATGAGGGAGAGAGAGAGTTTCCTTATTTCTAGAAAATATAAAATGTCAAGTGGATTTTTGTCATTGAAAGAGAATCTGACTAGATGACAGAAAATGCAATTTTTTCTGAAACCTTTGGCTTATTAAATAAAGAAAACCAACAGCAGCCAATATTTTTTTGAGATGACAGCTAATGACAGCTAATAACTGTAAACAGATTGGGCCCTCTTACCTCAGGTTTAGCTTTTAAGATCTCATCAAACTGTTTCACAAGTGCTGGGGGAGATAGCTGGTCAATCTCAGCTGCCAGTATTGCAATGGGCACCTTCACACCTGCAAATATTTGCACATAATCATTAGTACTAAGTTAGATCCCTACCACACACACCACACAACCATGGGGGAAGGAGAAGCAATAAATCTGTTTGAGGCCAGTTTCTTTACTAACTTCAGTAAAATGGTCACCAGAGCCTAATAGTTTCTATCAGCCAATCCTACTTCAAATGTACACACAGAAAGGGATTATGATGTCCCTAGCGTGGTATAAAAGTTGTACACAGGTATTCTGTACAGTGAAACATTGTCATATAACAGAAAAAGCATGCAAAGATTTAATGCCCTCATCTAAGTTAATAATAGCTAATTCTAGAAATTATTTCAATGTGGGCATTACTAAAGTATCATAACGAAAGGCAATATTAAAGCCAGAGAGAATTTCTACAGATCATTAACGGCATTCTTTTCTAGCATAAGGAACAATGTTGGCCTTTCTGTAAAACATGGAGTTTCTGTTAGTGATCATGATATAAGGCTGGGGTTTCTCAGTTCTGGACAACTGCATGATTGGTTCCAATGAGGCAGGTCCCTAATATTGTGAGGGCGAATTGATGGAACATGAATGAGTTGGTTCCTGAAAGGTGTAGATTTGGGTTTTAAGATGTTCTTTGCTTTGTTTCTTCTGATTCTTCAATAAGGGTTGCCAAATAAGAGCTGCTCGACAAAAGATAGAGGGTAGTCATAACTTCACATTCTTGAATTTGTGTCAAGGAGCTCTAAAGTGATTATGCTTTTCAGACAATTTACACTACAGGCAAGAGAGCCTTTTAGACTAAAATGGTATAAGAATCTTCAACTAAAATGCCATGAAACCTTTAAAAACTGATCAGGTAACATGGCCCCTTGAAAATAAACTGAATCCTAATGCAAGAGCCTATGCAAAACATTTCACAGAAAGTTCAACCAGAAGTTCTGCCCTAAAGCTGCAGCAGACCTCACCATGAAATCACTAAATCAAAAACAATTTGCTAATGACATGAACAAATCATAATTGAAATATCCAAAAAATTAGAATCTTACTCTTGAAATCATCCACGGTCACAAATGAAGGATGTAAGAGCACAGCTGCTTGGATAAGGGCCTCCTTTGCCAGTTCAACCACAACTTTAGCTGAGATAATCCAAAGACTTAATATTTGCCATCTTAGGTAATAACGTGATCAAAGAGTTAAAACTACTAGAAAATATAAAGTACTTAAATCATATGCAATTGCAAAAGTATTAATCATAGCAAAGATGTGTTAATAAAACAACTTAAAAATATAATGCAAAAATAAAAACTTACCACCCCAACAGAAGCCAGCAGCTCCAATTGCTGAAACCCCTTTACTTTTCAAAGCATCAATTACTAGCTTTGCATCCTCAAAACCTTTATCCTAAAAGAGCAATTGCAATGCTTCAGAGCATAAAAATTCAAAAGCGATGCATCATTAAGCATTAGAAAATTCTCTAGGTAAAGAGATGTATAAAAATAGCAGTTACTATGATGGTGAACAAAAGCAAGAATGCACCCAGCAGATTCAACATCAGACCTACATCGAACATAAAGAAACAAAAGCCAGTCTATAAACTTAGGAGAGTCCAAAACACAATTGGAAAGAAAACAGAGTAAAATCAAGCATCTGATGAAGGTCCTTTGTTATACAACTAAATTAGCAAACAATTTTAGGTATATGTCAAAAGGCCACCAACCGGTCCATGATCTTTTAACCAAACAGCTAGAGGTCTATCAGACCTCTCAGCAACAAAGGGATCTCCATAAAGGAAGTCAGGAACCACCACATGGAACCCAGCAGCTGCAACCTTGTCTGCAAGTTTTCTAGACAATCAAAAGCAACTGAAATTAGGTTCCAGATGCTTGAACAGTTCAACTCTGGATGCCAGACAGAACAAATTACGTAGTTAAATTAAATAGACATCACAGCACCCTATCACAGACTCACTCCCATACTGTCACAATCTCATCCATGGATAGAATAATCCAACCGTGCCAAAAATCATTCAGAGGCATGCCAAATTTGCCAAATTATAATTTTCAGACTCAACATTATCATATCAGCAAATATTTACATTTTTCAAAATGTTACAATGAGAGGTCACTCTGTGCATTTTAAGCCAAGAATAACCAGTATTGAGAGGATAGAACACCTCAATATAAGAACAACCAATCCATACAACTATTTAAAAAATGGAAGCAAGATAAGTCATCTAAAAGAATTTCATATGGCATCAAGGTGAGTATTGAACTCCATATGAGATGTGCAACCACATTGATGGACTGCTGGAAGCACTCGGTGTGTCAAAGGACCTTTCTAAGTTGTCTTTCCATCAACTACTGCCTAATGATTTAACAACTTGACTTATTAGACAGTTTATTCCAAGCACTAAATTTGCCAACCCTAATTTTGGTTATAATTAGTGTTGCATGAGATATAAATCTTCCAAGGCCTATTCTGGCATTGTGATTCCAATTGGAGATTGCAATAAAAAATTGTATTTGAAAGAAAACTAACCACAATTGTAAAAGCAAGTTTCTACTTGCCCTTGTGATTGTGAACAAATCATTGCCAATCAGGGTTTTTTGTTTTTTTTCAAAATTTACCTTGTCTGGCATGGTGTTTACTGTCAAACTTAGTAATTGCAAATGAATGCAACTCCAGTCGTGATGCAAACCATGTATTAAAGCAAATGAGAACATTACACATTCCAGTATTGGCATCCTGATGATGAAAAGTTTGGGCAAAGAATTAATATGGGCAGATGAATTTCTTAATTCCTCGGAAAGTGATAACGTGATGACTTTAAGAGCTAATAACAATGGGAACACCGTAAGCAACAGACTCTTCATATTGTCAATGAAAACTCTAGATTTAAGCTCTTTCCTTCACCAGCCAGTTACCCGGTATGGTAAAGTACTTGCTAGGAAAAGAGGCAGGCACTGGAGGTGTAGGTAAATCAAACCAAAGGAAATCATGTATCATGGAATATAAGTAAAACAAAATTTCAATTATTCTTCACCATGAAAAATGAGGATAATCTAATTAATGCACCTAAACATTTGGCTCAGTGGTAGGTGCATGTATCTCTTGCTCAAAGAGCACGCTAAATCCTCCCTTCCCCCCAAGTCATAAAAAAAAAAAAAGGGAGGATAATCTAATCCATTTTTGAATGAAAAGTAAACACTAGGGCAAAAGCTTGGGTTTTGAAATCAAATCAAATACAGATTTGGGACAGCCTGTCCCACAGTAGAACAAGGAAATATCAATATGAGATTTGAAAAATATCTTTAGAGTAAAGACTACATTTTCCAGGAGTCATAGAAAAGATAATAAAGGCAAAACATCAGCAACAATTAGTTGCACATGCAGAATTAGTCTTACCTCAGGTTTGGAGCGTCATATCCTGCAGAGCCATGACAAGAACAGCAAAATTAGCAGAAGACCAAGGTGATGGCAATGATTATCATGATCATGATGACAACAAGTATCTACACTTCATGGACGAAAGACATGCAATTGCAGAAACAATGCTAAATCAAAGTAAATATATAGTAAAAAAAGCAAAACCATAATATATAAGACAAAATTCTGTTAAAGATAGATCAGAAACAAACAACCCTAACATCCTTCTGCTCTACCAATTTGTTTAAACTATCAAAGTACCTCACAGAGAATCCCATCACGAGTTTCGTAGCCAATACAACAAGTATCCATTTAATCAAATACAGAGCCCAGATGGAATATGTTTTAAAGCACTAACAAGTCAAAGCGAAGCAAAAAAAGTGTGGAAAATGGATAAAAAAAGCTAATAAAAAATTGACAATTCTAAGAGCATGTTTGGTTTAGCTTTTTTCTAATTTAAAAGTTATTATGAAGTTTTTATAAAAAATAATTTTTAAAATTAAATTAAAATTATTTGATAAATTTATTTTTATAAATTTTTTTTAATAAATTATAAATTTTAGTTAAAATTATCGTAGATAGTTTTTTTTAGAGAATTATGTTGTAATTATTTTTAATAGATGAAAAATATTTTTGAAACAAAAATAAAAATTTTTTATATTTAAAAAAAACAACTCTTAATAGGTGTTTTTTAAAAGTTTTTTTTTTAAATTTTATATTTGATTTAATTTTTACTTTTAAGTTGAAAAAGTGTAAGTCAAACAAGCACTAGAGCGAAAACACTGAAGCTGCTGAATCCTAAACGGACAATCCATCATCAATTTCACACAAAACTTAGAAAAAATATGGCCAAGCAAACCAGAAAATTAAAAAAAAAAAAGAAAGAAAGAAAGAAAAAAACCCACATCAAAGGTTGAAACAGAAAAGCTAACAAAAAAAGTGAAGAGCTTGGAATCAGGAGCAAATTTGGGGGAAATAAGTAATTACCAAAAACATCAGAGACAAGAAGAACAGCAAGCTTGGAGTCAACAGATCCAGTGACATAAGTCTTGAAGCCAGCAAGCTCCTCAACATGACCAGTTCCACTTCTGGGGTTCAATGTTGGTGGGTTTGAACAGCACTGCGGACCTGACATCGTCTTTCTCTTCTAACTCAACTTTCCCTTCCTTTGATTGTATCAAACAAAAACACACGGACAGTATATAAAGGCACAGAGACAGTGTATAAAAACACTAGTGGACCCGGCTTTGGGCTATCGGGAAAACAATAGTGGACCCCCGGGCATTGATTCTGCAATATATTGGGGAAAAGAAAATGCATCATCCCTGGCGTCACCATACTTAAAAGGTTATCCATTTTAGTAGTAAAATATATCAACTTAAAAAGGGTCATTTGTTTTTTTTGGTAGAGGCATGACATGAAACTCAAACGGTGCTGCAGCCAGCCGCTGGTGCAAAGTCATTTAAAAAGAATCTCCCTTTTGCACCTTACTCTCACCCAAGAGTTGTAGACCTGGGGTGTACTAGGAGCATTTATCTTAGGAACCATGACACGAGTCTAACATATATCTGGAAAGTTGGGTTATGACTTTTCTTTCCATCAAATTCCGGAAGCAAAATGGATACTCCATAGATTTTGACTAGTGGAACAGTTAGCCTCTTCCCATTGCATTCGCTTAGTGCCTTAGCCAAAGCTTGGAACTTTAGATTAACTTCTCTTACCAAAACATTAGTATTAAGGTTTTTTGATATTAAAACATGATCAGGTTAGCAAGTGGGGCAACTCCATTCATAAGTGACATACCAGGTTAAAAAAGAAAGGCAAGTTCATAATTGCTAATTTACTACTACTTAAAGAAAATCCTTTGACATTCAATACTAATTATTGATAGTACTGTTTCTAAGGTTTTTTAATGGAAATAAAAGTTTTGTTCAATACATTGACAATGATTTTGTGTTGTTTTTGTGTAAAATATTTTCCAGATCTACGTTAAGAACCTATTTAATAATTTCTTGGAGTTTTATATAGGGAAATAGGAGATTGCGAGGAATACATTCCTCCATGTTTCTGCAGGTGGAGGACTTGGAGTTTGCTTATTGGAAATTTGCAATTGAAAATGATTACCCTTGACACTTGGCAAAAATTTACCTATTTAGCTCAATTGAATAAACCCAAATTTTAAAACCTTCCTAAACTGCGAAGGATTTGGTTACCTCGAATATTCCAATCAAATGTTGTGAACATTTCAATTGAAATCCCAATTTCCAGCAAGAAAATAAGTTATTACCGCAAAAAGCTAAAAATTTAATGATGCAATTGATCTGCACATGCCAAAAGCAGCCAAGCAAAGTGCAGCTTATTGCCATGATATGAAGCTGGAGCAGAATACAAGTAAAATGCATATATAAATAGTTTTCATGCCTGAACAATGCCCAATTAGACCTTCTAGCAATGTCTAGGGAAGCTAAACAAGAGATAATACTGAAATCATACAAATGAGACTACAACAATCTTTGGCCTTCAGTCCAATCGTCTTGCAAACAAGTACGCGCCTTATCATGGTTCGTTATCAACTTCTATCATAAGAATTTTCATCACTTGACATACTTAATAAACCAATTTAACATATCATCATGAGCCTCCTTGGCACTCTTTACAGCTGATTCATCCTCAACATTGTACCTTACTGTCCATCCATGTGCAACCCCAGGGAAAATTTTCACAAAGCTATCAAACTGTTAAAAGTAGTCATGTAAAATAATAATCAATATGAGCCATTCTTCATTTAGAACCACAAGTATGGGAAGCAAAGAGTCTTATTTATGCTTAGAATGTGGCAAATTTCTAAAACAAAATAATTCTTTTTCTATGTGGAGTTTTGGAAGAATGCCATATTCCTTATTAGAGGCTTCATCAAATTTCTAATGATTTTGTAAAACAGTGAGTTAAAAACATGCTTATTTGAGGAACTCCAATTACCTCAGACTTTGTTGACAACATGTCTCCAAACTGTTTCAGTTGTTCTGGGGGTGAAACATGGTCAATCTCAGCTCCCAATATAGCAATTGGAGCTTTAACCTCTGAAGCAATATCCCAATTTGCCATCAGTGACAAGCATTTATTTATAGAACTTGAAAAGGCGAAACTTACCCTTGATTTCTTTTTCTGTTATGGGACCAGGATGCAACACCACTGCAGCCTGTATGTCATCCGAACTTGCTAAATTTACTACTATCATCCCTGATGCAAATGCAAGCATCCAAAATTTCAGGGTTCAGCTTATCACCTAGGTCCACTTTACAAGAGATATTTAGCGTTTAGGAAGGCAAAAAGGAACCAAAGTAATCTACCTCCCCAGCAAAAACCTGCAGCTCCAATGGCAGACACACCTTTACTTTTCAAGGCAGCAATTACTGGTTTTGCATCTTCAAATCCTTTTTCCTACAAGATAAAGAGATACAGACGGAATTACTGAACCTAAACATTGTTCAAAAAATGGCTATGGGTCATTCTTCATATGCTCAGTTCACTAGCTTTCCCATCCATTCACTTTCTACTGATAATTGCCTGAATTAACAATGCCAATATCAATGCTCAAGATGATGAGTTGACAATATTTCCAAGCCACTTATGCAATATTAGCAATCAAATGGTAGTTTTGCTCATGATGCCTAGTGACAACAAAAGCACCACTCTTTCCTCAACCAACAACCTGATTTTCAATTGCTACCCCTGCGTTCTCATTTTAAGAATCATCACATAGTATTTCAACGATGAACTGTCCTATGATTCTGCCAGCATAACAAGAAACTAACCTTGTTATGAACTTTTCTCCATGCTTCTCGATCAAATTGAGGATTATCGATATCAGCAGGATCACCATTGAAGAAATCAGGAACCACCACAAAGTATCCAGCCGCAGCAACTTTGTCTGCGAGTTTCCTTCAGGTGAAAGTAAGCAAATATTAACTTTTTATGAAACAAGAACTTAATCGCCATAGATAACATGATTAAGTTACATGGACTCATATGTCGAGTAAACATCGATTAGTCTCAGGGGCTGTCACAGCTGAGAAGAAAGATCCTGGAAGTGTTTTTTGAAGGCATTGGTAAATTTCAACAGTCTAGTTTTTACCACAAGTAACTATCTTGTCTTTCAAGGATCTTCTGTTACGTTGAAATGTCTGTTATTGACTTTTGACTGACATATTTTAGCAAGGAAACGTGATTGATTAACTGCAAGAAACTTTAGGATTAAGCGTGACAGGTGTATACAGATAACAACAAAGTCTATTAGTACTTCAAGCACCAACAAATTTGATTAACTATTTGCCTCGAAGCAATGCATCTAACTTTACTTGATTCTACCATAAACAACCATCCAATCAGTTTCCTATATCCAATCCATCACACAGTGAAAAAGCAAGATCATAGTGGTAATAATCAATCCAGTTATCCACCCATACCTCAAATTTGGCACTTCATATCCTGCAAAATATTTCAACATAACAAACCAATCAAGTCCTAGCTATCTTTCTCGTTAAAAAAAGAAAAGAAAAAACACCTTAAACAGAAACCAAGATAACAGTTCAAACCAACTACACTAATCAAGAAACAAGGTAAACAAATTAAGCATATTGATGTTAGACTCATAAAATATCATTGAAATCCGATACAAAAATGGGAAAGTTTAATGATTTAGAAAAAAAAAGGGTTGTTACCAAAAACATCAGAAATAAGAAGAATGGCAAGCTTGGAATCAGGAGGGCCAGTGAGATATGCAGTGAGGCCACCGAGTTCCTGAACCGTCCCTGCTCCATATGCCGCGTTCTTGCTTGGTGGGTTCTCAAAGCACTGGGAGCTTGACATTTTTATCTTACAGATTTTAACATATACTACGTTTCAACTTCCAAAGACAGTGGAAAGTGGAAACAAAACAGAAACTGAAGTCCTAGTACAAAAGCTGCGGAGGAAATGATCAGTTGACGTTTTATGGACAAGGGAGTATAGCAACGTCACGGCTTTCGTCATAGGAACCGCACGTGGTTACTTGTGGCAACTATTGATGAAAGATTTGGGTTTGTAACGTTTGTATGTACAGAATTAAACCGTCACAAAGCACAGATGCATATAATGAAAAGATTTTGTAGCATGTATTTATAAATTAATCTTACTCATACTGAAATTCGGTTTGTGCCACCTTCAAACTATAGATTTTCCTACATTTTTCAGTAGAAAAAAATGTTACATTATTCACTGTAATATGTGATGGTTATTCCATGCCGTGGCCGAAGGCCCACCTTACAATGAAACCCCAAACACAGGCCACACACCACATTTAAACTTGAAAAAGAGCGAAAATGACAATTGCGAAAAGTCCAAACGACGTCGTACGCACTCCAAATGAAGTTGAACAAATATAAAAGCACTGTGGAAAGCCCCCCATGCAAAGGAAAAACACAAAGAAAAAAACCAAAAGCTAAAAAATCTCGTCTTCATCCCTGTCACTATCATACAACCTGTCGGTTTTTCAAGGAAGGGTTTTTGTAGGGTTTTTTATGCTTCTCCTCTTTCTCCGTTCAAGCACTATACGTAAACCAAGATAAAAGGAGAAAAAGAAGTATGGGTTCCTTGACAGATGAACAAGAAAGAGAAGAGGAAAACAGAGTAATGGAAAAAGAAGAAGAGAAGGAAGAGGAAGAGCCCATATTGAAAAAACAAAACCAGAGGTTTTGCATGTTTCCCATTAGGTATCAGACACTTTGGGAGATGTACAAAAAGGCTGAGGCAAGTTTTTGGACAGGTACCTCCTTTTTTCCTCTTTTTTTTCTCTGTTTTAAGGTTTTATTTTTCGTTTTGGTTATTTTGTGTTCCATTTTTTTTGGAAATTGGGGTTCCTCTGTTGGTTTTGCTTGTTTAAAATTGGGTTTGTTTTAGATTTTCTAAACTTGGCTTTGAATGAATGGGATAGTAAGTCAAATTAATGCTCGGAGGCAGAGTTTAAAAGAAAACTTGGTGTATTTTATTTTTGGTTGAATTGGGATGTGGACTGTTGCATTGGTAATTTTGGTATCTTTTTGTTATACGTGTGTTCATAAGGTGCAATGGCGGTGAATGGGTTGAATTTTTTACGTTTAAATATATGTTGTTTCCAGTTATGAGAAGAACTGCTTTCTGTAAATGTTGATATGGATAGCTTCCTGTCATGCCTTTGGAACTGCATATTCCTTATTCTCTCCCCCATTTTTATGTTATAGTATAGCCAAGTAGGGAGGGTTATTGCTTATTGGAATACAATTGAATTGCATAAAAAGTGGACTTCCAATCTTGAGAATTCTTTTATCCGATTTTTGAATCATCGGAAATAATAACCTGTACAATTTCTTGATTTGCAATATCAGAATGTGTTTAGACTTCAGAATTACTATTGTCCAATTTCTGAATGAGAGTAATTGTTTTTGACAAATTCCATGAGCTTTTTTTCCAGTCTTGTTGTAAGCTCCCCCCCCTCCTCTTCACCCCTTCCTTGTAATATGGAGCTTTTATCTGTATATATTATATTAGGTTCCCTTGTGCATCACTATTCTTATCTTCTTTATATGTGGTTTCTATATCTGTTCCAGTAATATCCGTCCCCTTGGTTTCATCTCTTTGTCATTGCTTGTTCATGCTATTGCAGCTGAGGAGGTTGATCTCTCACAGGATGTGCAGCACTGGGATACCTTATCTAATTCAGAAAAACACTTCATAAGCTATGTGCTGGCATTTTTTGCTGCATCTGATGGCATAGTTTTGGAGAACTTGGCTGCAAGATTCCTAAATGATGTTCAAATTCCAGAGGTACTCGTTAAGTTGTTTTCAGGCTATTTTATGAGTAACTGTGAGTACCAATTGGATTAGTATCTTTAATTTTATTTAGGTTCACTTTTTTATTTTATTTGTCTTGTTGATTTTTAAGTTCATACTTATGTAAAGCATTTCTTATAGGCGAATCATATTGTACTGATAGTGTTAGGTCTGTTCGGTAAGAGCAGGCTAATATTCTATTTAACTCTTAAACATTTGTATGCTTAGCTAGTTATGGAGTCAAAAGTCGTTACTGTCCAGTTTTAATTTACATAGAGATAGAGGATGCTTCTGTCTTAGAAACCAGTACTCACTTGGTTCTTTAAAGTTTATCATCTAACATCAAGGTTTCTCATTCTCTCAGGCCCGGGCATTCTATGGATTTCAAATTGCAATGGAGAATATTCATTCTGGTAGAGAGTTGATCACAAACTGGATTTGTTAATTTCACACCTAATGGACAGGGCCACAATTTAGGTGTTACTAAAAGAAAATTCTTGGCCAACTGAGCCTGGCCAGGCTTGAAAATTTTGGCATAATCTAGCTTATAGCCTATTGAACTTCTGAAGAAAGCCCCTGCCCTCTCAAATGATTTTGAATAATTCTTGGGGTGTTGGAAGTAAAGATGAGTGTTGCCCTAACATTTAGGTCTTATCTGCTCTTGGGTCACCATAATCTCTATCAAAGTTGATAACCCAGTCTATTTTTAGGTAATTTTAGGGTTTGGTTTAAGCTCCAGGAGTTGGCTGTTGGTTGGGCTAGATAGTTAGACTTATTTGCCCTTAACAGTCAAGACTGGACTGCAGTGTAGCCTGTACTGGCTTATGGTCATTTAGATGATTATCCTGTATCCTACATTAAAAATGACCTAATTGGGATTTTTTTGCTGCCATTCTTTAGAAATGTACAGCTTGCTTTTGGAGACATATATCAAGGATTCAAAAGAAAAGCGTAGATTGTTCAATGCTGTTGAAAGCATACCTTGTGTCAATAAGAAGGCTAAGTGGGCTTTGGATTGGATTCAGAGGTAATACTTTCATGTCCTACTCTGCCCCCTGGAAACTTATTATGTAGCAAATAAGCAATTTGGTTAAAGAATTCCTTTTTGTTTATGAGGATTAGGATGAATGATTTGACCTCGTATCATATTGACATCTATTCACCATTTTCGTCTGGGTTCCATTATGCATTGTTGCATACTTATTCCTCTCTCTCTGTCCAAACACTTGTTCTCATATTTTACCAAGGGTTTCCCTAGTTTGACCAAACATTTACCTGTCAGATTCCTTAATGCAGAACTTGTGGCCTTGATATTGTAGAACTTGAGTTGGAAGATTTATGCACATATGTTTTCAGTTTCTTGTTTACTTTATTTGGCCAGAGTTGTGGTTCTCAAGCTCATTTACACTTTTAAAATTTACCATGTTTAAGTCAAAGTAGTGCCTTTCTTTTGCTAAAAGTTTCCTCATTGTGCCTGTATGCAGTTCCTCTTTGTTTGCAGAAAGGCTTGTTGCTTTTGCATGTGTTGAAGGGATCTTCTTTTCTGGAAGGTAATCTTCTTTAGCCAGCTTAACCAGTAGGTTCTTCTATTTGATGTTGTTGAGTTTATATATTTTTTATATTAAATTTTTAATTAATTTTGTAAAATTTCCCTTTTTCATTAATTATTCATTGTCCTTTTCAGCTTTTGTGCAATTTTCTGGCTTAAAAAGAGGGGACTGATGCCAGGTTTGACGTTCTCAAATGAGCTTATATCTAGAGATGAGGGCCTTCACTGTGACTTTGCTTGCCTTCTGTACAGGTAACTTTCTGTTTCTAATTTTTATTAAGTATATTTGAAAACAATAATAAAACTGTTACTGGGCAATTTTAGTTGTCATTGGCTGAATATGTGGTTGAATTTGAGAAGATAAGGAAATTTCTAATTTATGGAATTCAATGCGCATGCTTGCAGTTTGTTGCAGAAGCAACTTAAATGGCAAAAGGTCCATTGCATTGTTCATGAAGCAGTGGAAATTGAGACTGAGTTCGTGTGTGAAGCTCTCCCATGTGCACTTATAGGCATGAACTCAACACTCATGAGCCAGTACATAAAGTTTGTTGCTGATCATCTTTTGGTATACCTCAGTAAATTTGTTTATCTTGATAGCTTGAACCACCCTTGAATGAAAATATAGTGTTTAAGAAATCTATATATGTTTTTTTGGACACGCATGCACACACACATGTATATTCTATGAACCTTATAATGTCATTTCTTAAACCTAAATTCATATACTCTTTTACCCAAAATTAGAATAAGAAACCTTTTAATACATTTTTACGAGATAGTCTCTGTTTTGAATTTGATAATCCTTGCTTGATTGTAAGCTACTGCGATTTGAAAACATATTAACATGATCATAATAGGCTTTTCAAAAAAAAAAAAAAACATGATCTTAATAGAAGAAATATATATTTGCTTTAAGATTTTCCTTTAGAATTATATTTGCTCATGAATGAATTGCTTAAATTTTCAATCTAAAGTGGGTAAAGAAATCTACTTTACATATTCTTAAGGAAATGGATTTTATAAAATCTTTATTTGAAGCTTTTTAGAAATTTTAGGATTTTGAGAGGTAAAGGTGCATTTCCAATTGTGAGTTTTTGATTATGGGTATTCATAATTTTTTTTTAGGAAAAGAAAAACAAAATTCAATTTGTTGTTAAAGGGTGTTTTTAATATTTGACGATAAATTTGTTGGAGGCAAAAGATCTAAACTAGTAGCTTGTTTCCCATTTATTTACAGGTTGCATTAGGGTGTCAGAGAAAGTACAATGTGGAAAATCCATTTGATTGGATGGAATTTATATCTTTGCAGTAAGTATTAATAGCCATGTGACTGCGTATTCTGGTTTTATGATTTTGGATTACATGAAATGTACTGCTGATTTCAATATTTTTAAAGCAGCATCTTGAATCTGGAATCGACCATCTAGCCCTTTTTCCTGTGGCATTCTTTATACTCTTGTTCACCCCCTTTTGACCTTATTGATTTGAATGCTTTTCACTCCTGGGGGGGACCCATCTAACATTAGCATAGCCCAACAAATTATTGCAGAAATGAGACTTGTATGTGAAATTCCAGTACTTGTAGAAGTCTTCCCTTCTACCATCACCATGTTTAATATGGCATGGAAATCTGTGTCGTAGTATGGAATTTTAGTAATCATTGACTTTCTACTACAAGCAATTAATGACTTTTGAGTTTTGCGTAATCATTGTCAAACTTTGACTTTTTATATTTATGGGAGCCTGTGCTTGTTAGACATTAGCTATGGTTGTTATGATAGTTGTTAAGTTGTTATGGATCATATCATTGAGTTGCTACGTTTTGCCTTCTCCAAACTAGCATTCTTAGGCATGTGCTTAAGCTAAGGCAATAATCTCTATTTGTTGATAATGTAATTAAATGCGGGTTTGACTTTGCAGAGGAAAAGCAAACTTCTTTGAGAGGAGGGTTGGTGATTATCAGAAAGCATCTGTTATGTCTAGCCTTCAGAATGGTGGTAATAAAAACTATGTCTTCAAACTGGATGAAGACTTCTAAACCAAAGACAGGTTCTGAAATTCCAATGTCATTATGTAGTGTTATGTAATTACTTACAATTTAATTTTGTTACTATTCTTTGTAGCAACACTATATATGACTATAACATGGTCTGATTGTATGGTAAATTCCAAAACATAAGTTCATGGCCTGCAGGCTGCATTGATGAAACTTAAATTATATTTTGAGGCGTCATTTTTGGATGCATATTGTTGTTCCCACATCTCATGTTTGTAAGTGGCTGTCATATTCGAACAAGTACCCTTTGTATCTTTATTCTGTCATATTTGCTGTTTCTAAATGGAAAATCTACAGCATCATCTATTTTGCACTTTGCAATTGCTTCTGCCTTTCTTCCCCCACCCACACACATTCAACTATTAATTTACTCCGTACACCAAACTTGATATCTTAGAAAATAAATGGGTTTTTTTTTTTTGAGATGTTATGTAATTAAGATGAGATATCTAATAATAGGGTTCGGATAATAAAACTATTACCCGTTAAATTTCAGATAATAAAATAATTACTCGTCATGAGTTTAGGTAAAGTATTGATATTGATTTGAAGATATTCATTGTTTGAACTTGATTATAAGTAATGATTTTTAATATTAAATTTAAATTTTGTATGTATTATATTTTATTTATAAAATTTATAATTAATGTAATATTTATTAAAATTTATTAATTATTTTAAATATGATTTAAAACTTTAATTTAGTTTTTTATAAACCAATTTTAATTTAATATAATATCCGGATGATGTTCCCAAACAAGTTTAAATAAAAACTACATCCTGATTTTATTTACTTGAGCAACACTCACCAATTTCATACACCTTTAAGGTCATAGCTATGCTTGCAAGCAAACTTGGTGGCTAACGTCTCACCTTACATACAACCCAGAACAGCTAGAGGATTCTCATGCATGCTTTTCATTTTCTTTTCCTCCAGGAAAACCACATGGAATGATCATACAAGTTATTACATAATAATGATAATTCGAATTTATATTTGATATACGGTCACTTACTGCAAAATGTCACTTCATAGGTACTATTCTCCATTGACATTACTATAATTTAATTATGTTTTAAATGGAAAATCTTCGAGTAATTAAGATATCCTCAGCCTTCCCACTGTGATTAATTACTGAATTTGACTGCCAATGAATTGGTAACTGTTAAAGACAGTTGCTACGAAATTCTCTTTTTTTTTCTTTTTGGGCCTTGTTTTCAATAAGAATTTCACCTTATAGAAATTGCATGAATAAATCTTGAACTGTTGGAGAATTGACAGCTGATCAGAAAAGTAGGGAGGCGGACCACGTCTCATTAACTGAGAGAGGAAAGTGAATTACTTTGGGGTTCTTGTCCTAAGGGGTTTCATCATTATGGACTGTTCCAATCATGTTTGCTTGCCTTTGCCGTCTGGGGTTTGGTGGTTAGGCACCCTGTTGTCGAATTGAGATGCAGCACCTTGGCTTGGTGTCAAAATATCAGTATCTGACAATTATATAAACTGTGCTAGTACAAAATTTAATCATTAATGATTCCACCTCTTTTTCAATCAGATATAATTAAAATGATAGCATCTTTAATCAGTAATCACCACCTTAAACAAGCATGTGGCTGCCAATCATCGACAGCAACATCACATAGATAGAACTTGGAATTTTCTAATCCATCTCATGATTTCATTTTTCCATAATACTTAACAACTCCCCTACCCCCCAGATCAGATCAGATCAGATCAGATTACAAATCCTTAAAACGTGCTGTTACTTTGATGACTGGACCATTTCACCAAACTTAATGTCTGAAAATCTTTTGCATCTGCTACGATGCGGTCTCATTGGTTCATAAACTAGTAGTTTAACAGAAGATTGGTGGGCAGGTAAGGAAAAAAAATTCATATCAGGCCCAATCCTGGAATCTGTAGAATCCCAAAAATTAAATTCCTCTTTTTGGCATGAAACAGGCAGACTGCACTCATATACTTTATAACTTTCTGAAAAATTGCATTACCAAACTTGAGAAAGAAGCAAGCAGAAACAAGTCACATTTCTTTCCTGTAAAGAAGTCTATCTTTAGGGAATCATTTAATCCCTAGCTGACAAACCAGCATCAAAGTGGAGAATAGCTTTTTCTATTATTTCTCTCTCTCTCTCTCTTGATTTGTTTATAGTTTATGTATAAGGTGAGTTGGGAGGTTGAACCATATTTGTTGAGACTTAGGATAATGATGGCCCCAACAAGTCATTTTCCTCTAACTAATAACCTCTAACAGATTAATGCCCACTAGAGCTTACCTACCACGGATATCATGCACAAGCACAGGCACAAGCACAAGCTGAAAGCAATGGAATAAAAGCTGTCGCCCTGCCAAATTTGCCCTTAATGTAAATGCTGCCAAATTTGCCAACATCAATGGAAAAAGTCGGGAGATAAAAGAGCCCTCTCACCCTCTTTTGTCAACTTCCATATACCTCTAGCAATATGCCAATATTATCGCTTTGGAGAGTTGGGTTGGGGGGGCCAATTCCCATCCCCCTGTCATCATCTTTACCTACCCTAACCACTATAGTTTTTTTTTTTTTATTATTATCCAATTGAGTTTCCCATTTCCTCCATCTAAACGACAGCTTGCTTTTCCTGTATTTAGACCTGGCTAGGACGCAAGTATTTCATTTTTTCAGTCCTGAAATTTGAAAGTCCACATCATTGTATCAAACATGTGGAGTTTAAGTGTTAGCGTGTCATTGGTGGGCCTAGAGCCTTCCGATCCTTAGTTGCCCAAGAAAGGAATGTCTAAACCCTACAGATATTCATGCAATTTACAACCTAACGTTTTGCTTCTCTTTAACTTCAACTGAAGATGGTCTGGCCTGGCAGTTGAATCCACACATGAGATGATGCATCTACGAACTGGGATTTCTTGTCTTGTGGGGTATTGTGCAAAGCTACAAAAATAATCCCCCGAACCACTCAGATGACAACTTTACCCTCCAAAAACCATTCTCCTTTTGAAGGAAAAACACTATTCAATTCCAAATCTCTAGTAACAATCCACCAACGACTTCATGATTTAAGCAATGAAATTAAAACACTATTAAAAATGATGCTTCTACATTAACGCAGAATATTGGCTCTGAATTTGATTTAGGAAAGCTCTTGTTTGAAACAACATACAATATTGCTCCATTTAGTTGATAAATTACTGATCTTATATGATATATTGTCCACCAAATTATTTTAACAATATAATTTTAAATGTTGTTGTCACATGAGCTCCGATTAAAATCTATCAAACAAAAGAAACATCTTTATATCAAATAGCCTCCATTACCCCCTCACCATTTTTGACTTTCCATATTCTTGCCAAAACCCCATCTTTAAATAATAAAAAAGAAACCCGAAAGACAAAAAAATAATTTTCGAGACCCGAAAAAAAGCCTCCCTTCAAGGCCCCCTCAAACGCCTCCACTCTGTTTCTCAAAACTGTATTTTTTTATTACAAAACGAAAAAAGGTAGAAGCGTGGTTGCTCTATCTGGAGCCTTAGAGCAATGGAGGTTAGCTTGCAAAGCAGCACGCTTTGGGACGACGTCGTTGAGCAAACAAAGGTGGCAACAGAGAAGGGTATTGATCCCCTGCCTTGGGCTTTGCAAGTGTCTTCAAGTTTGAGCTCATCAGGAATTGCTTTGCCTTCAACTGAGTTGGCCCACGTGTTGGTTAACTACATTTGTTGGGATAATAATATCCCAATTCTATGGAAGTTTTTGGATAAAGCTTTGATGATGAAGATCGTTCCTCCCCTGCTTGTTCTTGCTCTGCTTTCACAAAGGTTTGTTCTTTACTTTCTTGGGCGTTTCTTTTTGAGGTTCTTGAATCTCGGTTTTATTAAAGTCGTGATATTTGTTCATGGGTGATGAAGAGATTGATGGAGTTAATGTTAAAATTTGGTTGATTTAAAGCTCCTGACATGTTTCTTCTTTTATTTCTTTGAGTATTTTAATTTTGTTTTTCGCTCTTGGAGACATAGAGAGATTCGGAAATGATGTACATTAATTTTCCTTTTAAAGACTAAAAGAATTATCCTTTCTACTTCTTCAAGTACAAACCTTTATTCTTTTCTTATCTTACTTTATCTTGTCTTTTGATGTGGAGATGATCTTGGTAATCATCTATGCTTTATCTTTCTTTATTTATGATTATGTAGCTTATCATTTGGATGTATTTCTCTTTCAAATTGGCATGCTGCTGTCTTATCTATTATTTAGATTAATGAGAGATTTAACAAAAACAAGAAGGGGAGAATAACTGGATAACAAAGCATTGGTCTTAAAGTCAAATTTGTTTTGGTGAAGTGTAAAAAGTCAGTGAATAGAATGTCAAATAGTTGACTATTAAACTGATTTTAGTGTTTCCTTCTGTAATTGAGGATTTTAATGGCTTCTTTTTTCTTTTTTAATTTTCTCAACCATAGGAGGATTGCCGTGGTGATACCTGATTAACTAAAATGTTCTTTTGCTTCAAAAGGGAAAAAAAAGGAAGAAAGGAAGGAAGTTATATTGAAGCATAGTAGACTTTTTGAGAAACAGGAAGTTTCAATGTCCGGATTTCTTTCTTTTGGTTCTAAATATCTTCAACCTATTTCCTAATTATTTGGATATTGAATGGAAAATGAGTTTTGGGTTGACAACACAGATACTGTTTTTTTCTAATTTCTTCTAAATTAATAGTCTCAATATGCTAATTGTTCCATATTAGTTACTGATCAAGAAGTTCTTGTGGTTCTGATGCTATCTTTGCTTACATATCTTATTACCTCGCTTTCTCCGTATTTTTCTTTCTACAGAGTAATGCCCTGTCGACATTCCCATCCAGCAGCTTATAGGCTTTACTTGGAACTTCTTAAAAGACATGCATTTACACTTAAATGTCAAATTAATGGGCCAGATTATCAAAAGTGAGTCCTTACAGTTCTTATTCTCTGTGATATTTGACACACATGTGCATAGACACGCATGCACACTCACAAACTATATTAGATAGATATCAGCTAGGAAAAACTATATTAGAGAAAAAAAGAAACGTTTTTTAGCATATAGCATTGAATCTTGTATCACAGAAAAGACTTTGCATATGAGTTGAAGCTTGAAGGTTTTTGTTATAACATGTTAATTAATATCACTCTATCTGTATCCAAATTAATTAATGTTGTTTCATCTGCACCGTATAACCATATTCTGTCTTCATGATAATTGTGCTTCAGTTGTGAATATTTGAAGCTGTGTTCGTATTATTCCTAACTTCTAAGAATTGTGTAGGCTACACCCAGCTTGCTAGTTTGCCATGCTAAGCTACACAGCTTACTAGCTTTTCATGGTTGTCCTGGTGGATCTAAGAGGTCATTTGTTTAATTTATAAAGTTGTATTTATATCTTGTTTCCATGACATTTTTTAATTTTGGCATTCCAGAGGACACTCCAACCATGGATTCCTTTACAGTCTTAACAACTTCAAACTTTCTAGAACATTTATGAACCGTATTATAATGGCTATAGTGTATTATGACAATAAAGGTTCACTGAACCATATAAAGTACGGCAAGTAGAATAAGAGGGGCCGGGGAAGTTCTGCAGTAGGCATGCTTTGGCTGATAACTCCATTTAATTGAGCTTATTATCGCTTAAATCAAAGTTCCCTTGTTCTGAAAATTTGCTAAAATATTGGTTTCTGAGTTGCACATGAATTCTATTTCCAGATGGAAATTCATATGGTAATATTAAGTTGTTCCAACCTATGTTAAGTGGACATTTGACTTTAGCCTGATATAACTGTGTTGGGCTTTTGTCAGATGCCTTCAAATCTTTATGGATATGACTCTTGGACCTTTGAAACCAATGGAGACACTAGTGAAAAATCTATGTTCCTGTGTTGGACATTATTAAGTCCATGATAGGCTTTGGTTTGTCAATGTCATTCTCTGCTTTTGATTAAAATGACCATTACAGATTGTACTGATTATTATTGGTTTTCTATTTGTAATTTCTGTGCTTTTCTTTCATACAGGGTCATGAAATCAATAGATGCTACTCTTCATCTTTCTGAGGTTTTTGGTCTGCAAGCAATGGAACCTGGTATTCTTGTGGTCGAGTTCATCTTTTCAATTGTATGGCAGTTGTTAGATGCATCATTAGATGATGAAGGATTGCTAGAACTTACTGCAGAAAGGATGTCCAGATGGGCAATTAAACCTCAAGAAATGGAGATAGATGGTCATGATATTTATGATGAGAAGAAAATTGAATATCATGAGAGGTTGCAGAATTTCAATACTACAATAGCTATTGAGATAATTGGACAATTTCTGCAAAATAAAATGACTTCCAGGATTCTTTACCTGGCACGGCGAAACATGTATGTATTTTTTTAACTTTCACAATAACTTCTCAACCTTTTAAGTGTTCTGGTTTGTCCAATGCTTTCTCTCTTTTTTCCCTATATTTTACTTTTCCAAGCTTGGACAGCAAGTGCTCTTAGTTAATCACAAAGGCATAAACTGTATACCACTTGCACGTTGTTTCATCTGTAAATGCATACATTACCTAAAGTGTGTATGTATGCATCTGGATGTGTATCACAAAAAGTTCTTGCCATATTTATTTGGATAAATTTATGTGAATTCTTTGTTCAGTGCCACTATGTTTAGAGTTGTTCTATTTGAAGAAAGTATAGCCATTATGTTATCATGATTATTGCTTATCAATCTTATACGACTTGTCAGGCCCACTCATTGGGCAGGTTTCATTCAGAGTTTGCGGCTTCTTGGAGCAAATTCAGCAGCACTGAAAAATTCGAAAGCTTTAACTTCTGAGGCTCTTCTGGAGTTGACATCAGATAGTCGCGTCGTCTTGTCTAGAGAATGCAAAACGAGTTCGCTGCAAAAGTTCCATGCTGTTATGGCTTTTGGATCTCTGGCTTCTTCAGCTGGTCTATGCCATGGAGGTAGTCGTTCTGATCTTTGGCTCCCACTTGATCTGGTATTAGAAGATGCTATGGACGGTTATCTAGTTAACACAACAAGTGCTATTGAAATTATAACTGGTAAAGATAGATATTTCTTTGCTTGAATTTATATTTACAATTTAAAATCTTAGAAGTTCAGTTGTAGCAAAACCGCTATGCAAGAATGAGAACATTAAGTTTCATACTATGCAGGTTTGATCAAAACTCTTCAAGCAATAAATGGAACCAGCTGGCATGACACCTTTTTAGGCCTTTGGATCGCATCTCTTCGGCTTGTTCAAAGGGTTAGAATTTCTAATGATAATCAGGAATTTTCTTTTCTTTTCTTGTCTTTTCTGAATTAACTATGTTCTGAACAGAGAATATGATGTATTCTTAAAGCATTGAAAATTTACTAAGACCAATTGCTGTCCTTGAATTGGACTTAAATTTTTTCATGCTCTTAAAGTGTAAAACTTATTTTTGATACTAGCGTGCTTCAAATTCATGATAGTAATATGACTAAGTTCAGCAGAAAATTTATACATACTGATCAAGATATATAGTAAAGGAAAGAGTTCTTGCTTTGCTTGACCAATTAAGTTTGTTTCCTTTTATCACTAGCACTAGATTCACTCTGTAACAATTATAGTGTATTATTCTCTATGAAAGATGAATGGGATTTTATTCTCTATCTGTCAGCTGTTATAATGTATGAAGAAGTTAGTCTGACTGCTGTATCTTACCTTTAGTTCTTCATTGATTGTTAGGAGAGAGATCCCATTGAAGGTCCTGTGCCTCGGCTAGATACACGTTTGTGCATGCTACTGTCTATAATAACTCTTGTGGTTGCTGATCTTATTGAGGAAGAGGAGGGTGCACCAACTGATGAAATGGTATATGGCTCCACTAATCACTGGAAAGAAAAGAAGTGTCCCAGGAAATGTCGTGATGATCTGGTTTCCAGTCTACGAGTACTAGGTGATTATCAAGGCTTGTTGGCTCCACCTCAATCTGTTGTTTCCGCAGCTAATCAGGCTGCTGCAAGAGCAATGTTGTTTGTCTCAGGCATCAATGTTGGGAGTGCATACTTTGAGTGCATCAATATGAAAGACATGCCTATCAATTGTTGTAAGTAAAATCTTGTTCTATTGATCAATTTGCTGACCACTTTTCTTTTCCCATTCATCTTGAAGTCTAACCCTTGTGCATGTGTTCATGGGGCAACGGTCAAACCCAGTTGGTGGTTTCACTTGTGTGTTAGGATGTACTCAGAGCAGTTTAATTCGGGTTGTAAATAAATTCTGATCCGGCTATTCAGTTAAGATAAATTGGAGAACCAAACTGATGAGGACATTATTCTCTTTGTTATTATCTTTTGGGGGGTGGGGAATTGAATTCTATGAGTGATGTATTTGTTGAAAGATTTACACAGTTCTGTTCTGTTCATTTAACTTTAAACTTATACTGAGAGTTTGTATTTTTAAAAATATGTTCTTTATAAGTATTTAATTATATAAGGTATATAAGTGGTTCAGTTGGGGGCTTTCCAACTTGTCTGTCCATAAATTATTAGGAAACCATCTTAAACTATTTTCCACTGAACCCAGACCAAAACCATAGCAAAGCCCTTGAAAAGATGAAACTGAATTTACTAGTTTGGTTCAGTTTCTTGCTTCCAGGTTACTTCCACATCATACTTATGTTGCAATGCGCATCTGACTGCCCTCTTGTGTGATCTGAAAAAGAAAAGCATAATAGTATATATTCTTGTGACTTATAAACCGATGATCACTGGAAGCCCAGAGGTACTGGAGCTTCAGAATGAAGTGATTGATTCCAGAAATGTTTTATAATTCCAGTGGTGTCACATGGATATACCACCTTCTAAAACTTGAAAGATATAATTTTTTTTCTGGATAAGGATGTTGGCATGTGCTGGATAAACATATCTGAAATGCATTCATTAGATGGAAATAGTCAAGAATTAACATTTTATGCTTTGTGCTGAACCAGAAAATCTTTTATACCTAAAATATCATTTTGAAATTTTGTGAAGTAGATTTTCACTTCATCATACAACCAAGTACCTATCTTGAATTTTGATGCTGTTTTTTATACGTCCTCTGGGGTCAATGTTTTGTAAGGCTTTCTAATCTTATGTTGTGTTCTTGTTTTCAGCTGGAAACATGCGCCATCTGATTGTTGAGGCTTGTATTGCTAGAAACTTACTAGATACATCAGCATATTTCTGGCCAGGCTATGTGAATGGACGCATTAACCAACTACCTTATAGTGTGCCAGCTCAGTCACCTGGTTGGTCATCATTCATGAAGGGGGCCCCACTTACTTCAGTAATGATTAATGCTCTTGTTTCAAGTCCTGCTTCCAGGTATACTTATTAATATATCTTTAAATCATACTTTTGGTTTTAGGACTTAATTTTCACGAAGCTTGTCTTCTATACTACCGGGGCATGCCATGTGTTGCAGAGCTTGTTGGGTTAAAGGGAGTTATCAACTTTATAGATATCAATTCCACACACTTGCAAAATAGGAGGCCATTGCCATTATGTAACCTCTAGTTTCGTTGATGTATATATATATATCAAGCTTGAGAGGCGTGTTATGGAGTACATTAGGTTGGAGGGCATTATTAGCAATATGTGTATCAATATTATCCTATAAATCCAATAGAGGTTTTCACAAGCATATAACCTCCAGTTCTTTTGACTCCTCTCTCTCTTTCTCTTGTAACACCTTCCAATAACTATTCTCTCTTTCTGTCACTGAAACCTTTAGCTGCCTTCAAAATAAAAGCTCAAACTTTATTTTATTTAAGAAATTCATAATGATTTGGTATTCTCATAAAAAGCTTTTAAAATGTGCTTCCATCAAGGATTTTTGGATGGTGGAAGAATAGGTTTGTTTGACTGGGAAAAGTTTTACATAATAATTGTTTGAGTGATAAAATTCTCAAAATAAGAATCTAGCAGGAGAATAGATCTAGCATGCAAAACCATCTAACAAGGTTAAACCAATCTTTTAGCTGTTATCATTTGTGAGTCATTAAGAATCAATATACGTAATGGGAACCAATGTTCAAATGTCAAGGGTGATCTTGATATATATAAGTTCTCAAATATCTTCTAAGTTTTCTTGATTCGGCCTGGTCTTCAGTTTTTCCTTTTTCTTTCCTGAAGCCAGGTATATCAGTTGCTCTTTTTTGTAAATTTACCAAGGGTAAAGCGACTGAATTTAAGCTCATGGATTTGATGGAAGCTTAGCAGAGCTGGAGAAAATATTTGATATTGCGGTCAATGGATCAGATGATGAGAAGATATCAGCTGCTACAATTCTTTGTGGGGCCTCTCTACTTCGTGGTTGGAATATACAGGTAATAAGATGAGTATTCCTTTTCATCTGTGACCCTTGTGAAAAAATGCAATATTTTCATGCAAATGTATATTTTCTAACACTGAACAGTTCTTCCTTTTTGTTTTTCCCATTTCTTCTTCTTTTTTTTCATATTTTTCTGTTTCTATTCTGCTCTTTTTTGCTATCCTTACATCCTTACATTCTAATTATCTTATTTATATATTCCATGCAGGAATATACTGCTCAATTTATAACTAGATTAATGTCTCCTCCGGTTCCTTCCGATTATGCTGGGAGTGACAGCCATTTGATAGATTATGCTGCAATGCTGAATGCACTAATTGTTGGAATAGCATCTGTTGACTGTGTTCAGATTTTCTCACTACATGGCTTGGTATGATTCACTAACTTACATAAGCATATCCATTTCACAGATAAGGAGTGATATTCCTGCTGGTTTCACTAGCTTTCATGGATGAATGATGATATGTTTTATCTTTCTGCATTTCAAATAATATAGGTTCCATACTGTAGCTTATTTTGGCTTCAAAGATATTTTCGACTTCTTCAAGGAAAACCAGCATCTCCTATGAGAGCAAAATGGTTAGTCCAAGTGGTTCTAGGTTAAGTTTAAGGCACAAAGAAATTTTTTATTGGAATTAAGTTATTAGAAATGACAGCTTATGCTTTAACAAAGAATTACTGTTCTTACTGGCTGAGACACATTGTAGCTGCTGGGGTCAACTGGCCCAACTGTGCTTGGGTCAAACAACCAAAAAGAGAAAGGTTAAAGTTATGTATATCTTCATAGAAAATTTTTTATACTCTTTTTATATTTTCCCTGCTCAAACTGAATAAAACTTTTAAGAAACATAATATATGATTAAATTCCATCTTCATAAATTTGAGTTCTTAAAGTATCTGTGGTTTTACCTTTTCTTTTACCAGTATTTAACTGAGGATAGCGTAATTGCATGACATGACTGAAGAAGAAAGCATGTTTGGAGTCCTTGAATTATGACATGTTTAGGGTTCTGACCTTGTGATAGGCTTATGAGATGGAAGAATTGGTTCATGGGGATGATACCTTTTAGTATTCTTCCTTATTTTGAAGAGATTTGATTTGCCAATGTTAAGGGAAATAGAGACAGGAAGGCAAGATAGTAGGAAATTTACTTGGAGCGAAGCTTCTAAACCTCCTGTAACTGAGGTGATTGAGCTAAAAAAATTAACTTTCTGCTTACATTTTTCAAGCATATAACTCAACACTCAATTTCACTCGAGTGACTACGCCTATACAGTGGCATAGCGGGGAGGAACCTGCTCTTATAGACAAGATTAGGAGATAGGGGGTTGTACCAGCTAGAAGCCATCAAGCTGAAGCCTTCTCTTCTTAGAGAACAGGGCTTTTTCATCTGCATCGGGCAAGACC